GGCAGGTGTCTTAACTAGTCAGTTTTACTCTTGGATTTCCTTTTTATCCTTTTTACTCTTAAATTATTTTTATGCCTCACTTTATCTCTGTGTTAAATAGCTTTAATCATATCCTTCAGTGATATGAAGTCTTAGACTTTTATGTTCTCAAAATACTTTACAAAGATTACTAAGTGTTACAGGTGAGCCAGAAATGGATTCCCATCCCACATAAATTTTCAACATATCAAAACATTTCCCTGCACTGAATCAGGACAAAAATCAAAGCAAAAATTGGGAGAAATTGGTTTAGAACTTTCATTCCAATTCTGTAATTTCAGTGCCTTACATTTCAGTTTCACTCATTTTAACATCTCCCTTCAATTAACTTGTGTTTCCAGCTGAAATTCATTTTGAATCAGCAAACTGGAAGTTTTTATTTAAAACATTAGTTACACAATGTTTCAGCAGTGCCTGTTTTAAATACTGTATTTGAAAATCTGTGCTGAAGCCTCCTCTTTTCTTACAAGCAGCTTGGTTTTGAAAGTTTGCCTTTTTCAGTTAGAAATGAAAAAATTTCCCTGGGAAACTCCCATTTCATTGTGGAAGGTATCGTTGTCAACATCGAGTGGATGGAGAGGCCCATTTAGTTGCTCGCACAGGTGACTGGTGCCACTGGAGGTGCCCTCAGGTATCTTACTTGACCTCGTGCTGCCACTACACAGGCGGGAGCATCCATAGGTGCTCTGCCATGTCTTGCAGCCCACGGGAGATGTCTCCAGTACCCCATGGCAGCTCGCTTGACACCGCCTTGCCCAACTGAATTTAGCCCAGAGAAACTGAGTCACAGAAGAGCGATGGTTGAGATTTCACCAGTGCCAGTTGATGGGTACATGATTTCTGTTTTTCCAGCCTGGAATAATTTAGACAACTCACAATTTCATTTCTCGGTCTAGTAAGCTGTTTGAAGGTACGTACAGCTTTTGGTGTTCAGCTTTTCTGAAAGTAGTTCTGTAGATGCTTTGCAGTGGGAGGGATTAGGACAAAAAGCAGATGGCAAATCGTTCGCCAGATTTGAGTTGTTTGACTTTGTGTGATGCCACTGAATATACAGCCTATGTATCCTCCTCTGATCTCATCTTCTGCCTACAATGAAACTCTGTTTTCCTGTGCTGTTAGCACATTTGAGCAGAGGGCTGTATCTCCTAAAGTCTCTTCCCACCTAAATCGTTCTATGATTTAAGTTCATGATTGCCACTACACTTTAAAATAATTATGCTTATTATATCCTACTAAGAGGCAGATCACTTAATTTGCTTTTGTGCATAGCGTTTTAATTTTGTCCCTTATTCTTCTGTTGTTAGATGTACTAAAAAATAGTAATTTTTTTTCTAAAGTCTGTACATTGTTCTGTTCTTCTACCTTGTCATGGTTCTCCTCCTTTGATTGCCTAGCTAAGTATATAATCGAAGACTATTAATAGGTGTGTTCTGTATCTAGATGTATCTAGCCTCTTGTCATTTTAACTGTTCTTTATGTATTTTTGGAGGCCCAGCTTCCTCATTAAAGATTCCTAAAGAAAATAATCTGTACTTGGATAAGAGGGAGGATCTCAGTTAAGAAATATAAACAAAAAGTGAGAAATTAAATTGTTGAATTTCTCAGTGGAGGGCGATAACCCATGAAATTCTTGAGAAACCTGTGCTGAAGTTTTTCCTACTCAGCCATGTGATAAAGGGCATGGAAGAGTGAGGTGACAGAGTTTTCTGGTAACAGGAGGTTTGTGAGGGTAGTAAAAACAAATGTTAATTACCAAGATTACAGAACTATTCCTCAGTGCTGGTTGACAGGGTGATAAAATGACCGATGAAGCTTAATGTTGATAATGAGGTGATACATGTGGGGAAAACAGTCTTAGATGCTCAGGGGCGGGTTCTGAAGAAACTGTTCTGTCTCAGGAAAGCGATCTTGGAGTTGCGGTAGGTAATTTTCTGTAAGCATCAGCTCAGTGTGCAGACACAGTCAAGCAAGTAAATAGAACAATAGGTATTAGTAGGAAGGGAGCATTAAAAACAGTATAAAGACTGTAGAAGAGAAAAGAATTATGCCACTCTTAATCCATGGTAGACATGCCTTCAAAGCACTGAGGGCAGCCCTGGCTTTCTAACCTGGAAAAGGGTATAATAGATAGAAAAAATACAGAGGTGGACAATAAGAAGGATTAAGTATAGTTTCTGTATAAAGAACAGCAGGGTAGATTAGGAGTCTTTAACCCAGAGGTCTGTAAAAGCAGAAGGATATGGAGAGGGATGTGGTTGTTCACTTCCTCTCCCATTCAAAAAGTAGGTAAGCTAGATTCTGCTGTGGTATTTTAGGTACAGATGTTCTGTCACTTTACGTGAAGCAATCGCATTACTGGTATACTCTTTATAATGCAGCCAAGGATAATAAGCTTCTGAATATTGAGTAGATATCATCATTGTTCTATGAGTAATGACTAGGAATAGCTAAACTTCTTTGTTTAGTTTTGAATGCAGGGGAGAAAGGACAAATGTCACTGGAAGAACATGGTATTCACTGCTGGCAGTGGGTGGAAGCTTGGCATGTTATGGTTACTGGGAAGATGAATCTTGAAAACGCACAGGTTTACATCTCAGCAAAAATGTTCATTAATGTGAAAAAGTAGTTGAAGAGGTGTGCAGAATCTGAAACTCCAGGAGCCTTTCCTTTTCTTTTTTTTAATGACCTGAGATCTTTGTTTTGTCAGCAGAGGAAATAAACTACTGCCCTTTTTTGGCTTTGCATAGCTCTTTACAAAGAAGCCAACTAACTGTTCCACTGAAAATCCAGTGTTACTATGACATTACTGTTCATCAGAGGCAGAAGTGTGAGGCATCATGTTGGCTTAATACTTTATGGTCTCAGAATTTGCCCGCGAAGGGGTCTCAGTTATTATTTGTTGGAAGTCAAGGCGTAAGCAAGAACTCATCACAAATATGATTGTTTTCTGAGTGAGATAAAGTACACTAATACAGGCTGCGTAGTCATTGTATAATGCTCAAGACAAAAAAATCTATATAATCCAAGCAGAGCATAATTAGCTAGCTTCTAGTGTTGGATGTACCTTGGCAGATGCAGGATTGTATTACTTTGTCAAACAAGTCCCTCTGGTTATTCTTTAAGGTGAATGGAGATGCTAACACACTTTGGTATTATGCACTGATGTGGTGCTACCAAAAAAAACCAAAACAAAACCCAAACCAAAACCCGTCAATGCTTTCCCTTTAATTGCGCATGTTATCATTACTCCAGTTCCCAGTCCAGAATATTAGTTAAGCCAACAATGAAGGTATCTTCTGAGACTGAGAAACGGAGAAGCTAATGTACCAGCGGACATCCTTTTCTGCTGGCTGTGCACTATGGAGGGTGATAACATCCAGCACAAAGAGTGGGCAGACTGATAAAGGCAGTAGCATCTTCAAATGCCACAGCTTAATTATCTAAAAGGTGTCAGCCAGCACATGTGCTCATGTGGAGCATATCTTTGGTGCATGAGTAGATCTAATAATTTTCCCAGTGTGTCATGATACCAACATTCAGAGAACCCCAAATCACATGGGACCTTTTTTCTTCTCCCATATGGCAATAAATGCCACGTTTGCTTTCTAGCATCACTCATAGCTCTTTCAGCTGCACAGTTTTCCAAATATCTCCCCCCCTCTGCTGAATCACTGCTGTACGGACAAGTGTTTCCTGGCACACGCGGTTCTGTTCGGAGCGCTGCAGACCCCCGCGGAGCGTGGCAGCAGGGCTGGCGTCTCTCCCCCAAGCAACCCTCGCAAGCCGGCATGTGTCGACTGCGGTTGTGGCACATTTGGGGGGTGTTTGTAGTTCAGTGGAGCAGGCTTCTGGGTAAGCGGAAGGGAGCAAACCTAATTTTTTGGAGTACTGCAGGCTAGTTTTGCAGTGCTGTGTACTAGCAGGAGAGAAGCTGATGTAGACATCAAGAACTCTACTCACACTCATCCTTGCACCGCTTCAATGCAATCAATCTAAAATGATATACATGTTTGCTATCAAAGTGGTAGCGTGCAGTGATTTCTGAGTTGGGGCCATTCTCTTGCCATGCTGCCTTGCTTAAATGCACACATAGTCCCTAGACGAAAGTACTACCTGTACCATTACTGAGTGCTTCCCCTTGACTGGTGTACAAAATGACGTGGCAGGCCTGTGAGGGAATGCCTGTTCCTTCCCTGGCTGGTGGAATGATACTTTAGAGAGTTCAGGAATAGACGTGATAATGAAGACACATAGGAGTTCATCCTTTCCATCTTTCCCCCAAAGGATTGACTTCATACAGTCAATTTAAGTCTTAGGTAAACTCTAACATTTATTCCAAATGAGAAACAATTTGTGGTACCCTATAAAGAAGTTGGGATGTGATTACACCAGCGTATCTCCCAATCCACATGTAGCATGTTTTGTCCAGTTTGCATACATGTAAGTGATATTAAATGGTGCAAAGAAGTGCAGATCCATCCCATTCGTTCTGTTTTTATAAACCAGCAGCTATGAAAGCCCATCAAAGCTTTTTAAGAAGTTGCTAGAAGAGTATGTTATTTTTTAATCTTTGGAGTCCTATAAATCAAAGCATGTTTTACCTGGAGGTTCTTTTTTTCTAAGTAAATGTAAAAAAGTGTTCTTCTTTCTGTGGGAAATCATTATTTCCTCTTTTGTGAATCATTTTGTTAAATTAGGAAAGCCTTGCAAGAAAGTCCTCATATGATGATAGTGTGTGAAAAATGTAAAATATAATCTAGGTTTTTTTTAAGATGAATGACTTTTTCATTGTTTTATTGCTAATAGCAAATGCATTTCAAAATCAAAGTAACTTGTTAGAATCCACATCTTTACACTGCTACTGAAATTGTGTTTTGATTTCTTTGACATGATCCCTGATTGCTGTGAGAAGAATCAGTTCAGTATTTTTGTTCTTAGATTCCCCCTCCTTTGTCTTGCAGCTACTTGTGGCAGATTCCATTAACAATTGCAGTAGGAAATACGAGCCACATCTCATCAGAGGCAATTATATGGGTGTCTAACAAATCAGGTAAAAGTAAACTTTCCTCCCAGTGGAATCTCATAAAGCATACTTGTGTTTTCCTCAACTGTTTCTTTGGAATTGATCCTAGATAATTGTTTAGTTGCTCTGCACCCAGTTTTAGCTACTTGAAATGAATTACAAAAAAAGGAGAGTTGGGAAGGGAGGGAGGAGGAATGAAGGATGAGCAACAAGCAAGATTTATAATTATCACAGAAGTTAGACAGTATAATGAAACACTTTTGCATAGAAATGTGTACCTAAGTGCTAACTAAGTGTTTTGTATTTAGCAACACATATCAAATCATTGATGAATGCAATTCACTTTATTGATTGGTGAAAGTTAAATGTAATATTTTTATAGCAAAGCATCTGATGAGTATGACTTAGTAAATGCAAAGTGTTTAGAATTCTGGCATTTTTAACTCCGATCCATAGTCTGAACCATGCTAAGAAATGTTTACTGTCATGAAAAAGTTTCCTTATTGATCTATCAAAGTATTTCTTCTCTCTATTAGATAACCAGATGCTGGACCTCAAAAGTGCATTATTCTGCTTACTACTTATTTTCTCCCTCCTCAGTTCCTACGTAATCATAATAGTTATTACTGTGTGGACAGCTAGGATGAGATACCAGTGGTTTTTTATCACCTAAAAAAGGAATCCCGCCATAGAAATTTCCTAAAATATTTCTCTATTTCATTAGTAGTTCATGCTACATCACCTGACGGTTTTGGCCTGGAATTGAAGAGAGTGAGGGAAGAAATTTGGTGACTTAAATAGAATGGTTATATGGAAGAGAAAAGAAGCATTCATGCGGGCCCTCAACACATGGGCTGTAGAGGGAGGACTGGTCCCTTCTTGTTATATTAGAAGGGTATAGAGAGTTTCATCTGATGGAAATGTAACTGGAGAGAGGAAGGAGTCAAACCTGTGTGAGCCTGTGTTTTTCCCTTTCTTTCTCTTTTGTGAGTCACTAAAAGGTAATAGTCACATAGAGCTTAGTAGCCAGCGGGACTAGAAACAGATGGTGCACAATCAGTGGAAATCCGAGCATCCCAACTTTCTAGTGGTATAAGGTATGTGTTTCTTTGCCCTGATCGTTTGCAGCCTATCAGAACGTAACAAGTTTTATGCTGCTCCCATGATACAATGATCCAGAAATGTGCTTGGGACCAGGGCACTTTTCATACCTGGGAAACATACTCTAGTCAGAACATACAGATGCTGCCTCACTCTGCAGAAATATATCGCATTGGCCATACTTTTTAATATTACCACCTCCGGAATACTTCAAACCTGTTTGCGCTTTCACAATCTGCCTTAATGACCTGCTCTACTTTTGTCCTTTAGGGCTTGATTGAACTCTCATTGAAGTTAATAGAAAGATTCCCACTGACTTCAGAGAGAGTTGATCATCTCATCTCATTAGGTTGTACATGCATGCCTCCTTCCCTTCACTCCTGCCTTGAAAGTTCAGTATATCACTATTATCTGCACAGTTGCTTCCTCGTTGCCTTTTACTTGCAGAGTGCTGTGGAGGAACAAGTCCATAAAACCACTACCCACTATTTTAAGATCTACTGCTCCTATCGGAATGCCTTCAAGAAATCAACAAATTAATGATGGCCAGTGTGAGCAATGATTTTGGGGTGGCTGCTATATAGAAATTAAAGAGGAACCTTTCTGAGTCATCAGTTTCCTGTGTAGCGAATCAATGCCACTGTGATCTATTGTCATTATCCTTGTCCTTCCTCATTACTTTCTCACTCACTCACTTGCTGTGCCTCATTGAAAATGAGACTGTAAACTTACGACTACAGCAAGGATGTCCTCTTGCTTCTACTTATTGTTGTCTAGCTCAGCTGGAGAATTCCTCAACATAAAAAAGTCAGTAAGAACATCCCTGCATGTAATCAATGTATGATTCATTGTACATGCTGTTATGTATTGGGGCTGGTATAGATGATTTTGTGATACTCCTGGCTGTGATTTTCTGCTGCTGGTATGTTTGCTTCATGGGGATGTGGGAGGGATTCTGAGACTGGAAAGGACAGTTTCCAGGATTGATTTTTGTGGACGGGAAGAATCCTGAAGACCTTCTGTTGTGCAGAGGACACAGTTTCAGTGTTGTCTCAGTGAGTAGTCTGGGAACAACTCTGCAAGCTGGAGGTGAAACAAACTGCTCCAGAGGATATTTGGAAGATGGGAGTGCTCACATTGGTCTTCAAGTGAGTGTAACTGAATGTGGATACTCAAACCAAATTTGGAGGAAATGCTGTTCACGAGGATGGTTTCCATGCCCTCTTTAGGAAGGACTGGGCGTTTCCTTCTTGTTGACTGAACTGCTGTGCTAAAGAAGCTTCCAGTGCAACCTGAAGAGTGGATAGGAGATGTTGAACAGCTGTCTGTTGTCTGTCATGTAATACTGATCACATACCTCATCTCAGCTGCCAGTAGTGAAGAGGGTCCAAGTTAATGACTACCATTATGATATCTTGGCACATCACTTAGATTTTTCAATAAAATTAACCTTACCTGTGTGTTACCTGAGAGAAATGAAACCACAGCAGTTTTGAAATAGCTACATATATTGCCATCAAGAAATATTCCTTTTTTGTGGTAGTTTAAATATCAATTTCCCAGGGGAGTACACTCCCTGCCTTGCACTAGAGTTCACCAGGGATGGTTATTTGCTGATGGAGGAGTCTCTTCCTTCGTGTACATCCAGAAGGACAAGAGAGAATTACTGATTTTTGCATCCTTTTTGCTACCGTCTCTGTGACCTCATCGAGGTATTGTAGGATGCTGTTGGCATTTTTATGAGCAAGGGATAAGAGGCTGCTTTCCAGTCTTGTGAGAGCCACTGAATGTAGGATGCTTGGGTTGCTGCTCCCTACTCATCCTGGCCATGTCTGGTTGTGTACTAGAGACAGTGAGGCACGCAGATCGCTGATTGTTCCGTATGCTGAGCAGGATTAGTTCAGATAATTGCAGGTCATCCCAGCTGCTGGCAACAGAGTTCATTCTGTCCACTCTTCACAACACCAAGGTGAAGGGGCACACTGGAAGTTACAACTATGCAGCGTCTTTTTGAGATGTAATTCACTGTCCTTTGCAACAAATCCTGTAGAGAGTGCCAAGCCTTGGCAACTTGTCTGACAAAGTGCAAGATCTCCAAGATGTTTCATTCACCTGTTTGTGGAAAGTATGTAGTCATAGTTTTGGAAGGTTTCATTTTGCAAGTGCTTCTGCCAGTCTCTCTTGTCCATACCCGGTGAGCGATAGCATTTATGTAATCATTTTTCTACTCATCAGTTCATATACCAGCCATCAGATGACCCTTTTACTGGCTGAGTTTGTCTGGGTGTGTGAAATGGAGCTGTCCCTTTTGCTCTTGGAGCGCTGCAGAGAGATGTCACCATCACCTTTTTTTCCCTGTTCACTCCCCATAGCCGTGGATGAAGCCGTTCTGCTTCAGGCGAGTGACAGCTATTAAACCTCTGAAAACTAAACCGGTCACAAAGGAGACATCTCATGATTAGCCTTGCTACCCATGCTGACGTCCGGGACATCACACTAAGGTGGCTGCAGCGCTCTTTGTGCTGCAGTCTTGCAGGTCTGCTGAATGATAGATTTCACCGGCACTGTGGAAGTCATTGGTGTTACAAACTTCTGCTCTGTCATAGATCCAGGGCTTGTTTCTGTTTCTCCTAGATAAGTTGCCTCTTTTGTGGTTGCTGTAATGATAAATGAACATAATGTCCACAGTGTTTGGGGATCAGCCCAAAATCAGTAGTGGGTGAAAAGTCAAGGACCAGCTTTGAACTCAGCCCGTCCCCACAAGATGACTGCTTAGCAGGGCTCGCAGGAAAGTGTTGGCGATGGCTGCTGAAGGCGTACTAAGTGTGCAGCACAGGCTTACCTGTCGTGTTTCCGCAAATCCAGGAGAAGTGACCTTAACCTCAAGCGAGGAGGTTTAGCTAGCATCCAGTTCAAACAGGTGAGCAAGGCTTTGGACAAAAGCATACCTGCCGTTCCCTGGACGTGATTGTTCTGGTGCTCAGGCTCCGGGTAGGAAACACGTCCGTGTGACTCAGCCAGGGCTGCTGAACTGACTGATGCAGCTTTACAGTCTGCCTCCCTGCCCCTTCCATCCTCACCTCCTGTACCTCGACTGATTTGTTATGTCCCAGGGAAATATTCCTCTGATGGACCTCCCTGCCTCTGGTAAAGCTACTCGCATTCAGGCTCCTCTTAGTATCTCTGCAGGATTACCGTGAGATGGGGGAAAGAAAGTTCAACAGGGCAATTGCCTTCCAGACAGCAAGCCCCAACTTCCTATTATGCCACCTCCTGCTAGATAATCTCTACTTTAACTGTAAGCCCCTTGACAGTCTGATTCTCCTCCATGAAGTGTTTTGTGGAAGACAGCTGCTTCTGAGCTGGGGTTTGCCACCTGCCCACTGGGGAATAGAGCATTAGTGCAGCATTAGAAAAATATCCTTTCTTTTCCTTTCTGAGACTCAGCTGCTGAGCTTGACCGGTGTTGCTTCCAAACTCCACTCTTTTATCTTTCAAAAGCGGGAGGAAGGGAAGCACTGTGAAGTAAAATAAACGTATAGGTCCTGCTTTACAAGTTTAGCCAGCCGTAGTGAGGACCAGGGATACAAGACCTGCAATCCTGGCATGATTTTGACGGTGAGGCAGAATCACTCCCCTTGTCCCAACAGCTGAGCAAAGATCCTAACAGAAGACTGCTGCTTACATTGTGTATCACCTTAGAGATTAGCAGTTCCATCATATAGGAATGTTAATGGATGGAAGGGTAGTCTGAGGAAAGAGTACATGAGACAGAACATGATCATATTTACTGATGTGCTCCATTTATTGTGTTGTTCACTATACCAAAACATTTTTTTTTCAACGTGGAGCTATGGTGACATGGCAAGTGAGATGGAAAGAACTTCTTCTTCTGGTTTGCTTTCTCCCCGTATGAAAAGTTCTTGCAAAGAGTTTTGCAGAATTTAGTTAAAGCCAGTATCTTTTCACAAAATATTGTGATTGCGATTAAATTCCTCATGGAACATTTTCTTTGTCAGAAAAATTTCACTTGCTGTTGTTGGCATGAAATTGTGCTACTCTTATGCAGTTATTTTTGGAGGAAAATGGAGTCAGTTCTCCCAGCAGGGATTTTACCAACATAAACCAATTTCCTAGTATGCTAGGCTTTGTATAAAATGGAGAGTTCAAATAACAACTGTGAGTCTGAACACTTGAAATGGTAGTAGAACTGTGCTTAGCCCACGCTCTCGTCGGCACTGGAGTAGTGTCTTGCAGAGACGTGCCCTTGGCCCAGACCTCACCTCACAAGGTGCTCGTGTTGCCGTGCGGAGGAGCAGCCTCCGTCTTTCCTGCTGGTTTTGATGGAGTTGAAGTTGCTCGAGAGCTGGGAGAGCTCAGAACTTCAAGCTACATGCAGTTAGCACCAGCTGGAGGACTGTCTCACACTTCCAGAGCAGAGAAAATGAGAATCCAACCCTAACTGATTTTCTTACTTCAAAACAAATGTCATAAAATTTAACCATTTCCTCCTAAATGTCTCCTACATGTATGTAGCAAGACTGGAGGTTTCAGAGCAGTGTTATTTTCTGAGGCATCCAGACAAAACATGACCATGGAAAGACACTTTCTGATGGAAGAAGATTAAAAAAATTTCCCTTTAATCTCAAATACAACTGTATATATATATTTTAGATTGAATTTTAAGTGGTGAACTAAAACCATCAAAGATAGATTTCTTCCCCAATGAAATCTTCATTGTTGTTTAGAAAGTCATGAATGGTTTAATATAGGGTTTAACACTGAATGACTACCTTTTCCCTAACTGTAATATTTTTAACAGGAAGCTAATAAATGTGTTTGTGGTAAGTGGAGAAATTGCCCAGGTGTATAGAAATTTTCAGTGCTGTAATCACCAAAAGAAAGAATTTCTTTTATAGGAAAGCATGAGAATTGACAGACTCAGACATCAAATTCCAGTAAATTATATAGAACTATATGAAGCACATGCATCAGGCAGTCCCTTAAAATAACCACCTGCTTATATGAGCTGGAAAGGCGTGAAAGATTCCTGTCCTGTATTTCAGGGGAAGGTCAACACATGAGTGGTCTTATCGAAAAATAATAGCAAGGGGTGATGGTTGGATATAAACTGACCAAAAAAGCAATAATGCTATCAAGCTTTGAAAAGATACCGTTCTCCATTAAAGCAATATGTGTTGGAGGTGTTGCACAGTTGTTACTTGTGACATAGGTTATTTTGAACTTGTCATATTTGACTGGCAAGTATCATTCAATACTCTATTAAAGTGTAAGTAATTTCCTCACTTGGAGATCAACATTTAATACAAATACTCAAGAAAAAGACATGTAGTTTTTTAATTACATCTGATTTTGAAAATTTCCATTTAATGTATTTATTTCCCCAGATAATGATTAATAAGTGCTTATAGCCCATTTGGTATGCTTTTAGGGATTGTAGAGGTGCAGGCATTAACCAGTTACAAGTAGCTGCTTTTGGCGCTGGTGGCATTTAAAGGTTAGTTTGCAGCAGAAAAGCATGGGCAGAAAGCAGTACTGTGTTAAGGCTACGGTAGGATTTTCTGCCGGGCGTGAGCAGCCTGCTCCTGACCCCCCATGGCAGTACGCCCCTGAAGACCCAGAGAAACTCTAAAAGTCGTCGTTTCCCTCAGCAGTCTCTCCTAGATGGAGAAGTGGGTATTTGTGCTGTTGCTCTTAAGAAACCCACTAGGTCGATAAGGAGCATAGCTGAGATTTAGGGGTGACAGGCAGCGTTCACAGAACCACGCTGGGTAAACTAGATAGGATGGGGTAGATCCGGATTCAAATTCCTTCTCTCCCTGTTTTATAGCAGATATTTGATCCAAATCTGTTCTAAGAAAGTGCCTTTATCACTATGCTGTAAATTGTTACGATCTTTTACGGTATTTCTACAGTAATGTTTTTCTTCGTATGAGATTCAGTGATTTACACGGGAACCAGGATTCAAGTTTTCCGTAAGCAGGCTGGAGCAGCTGGGTGATTCTGACTTCAGGTCCATCCAGTGAAAAAAGGATTTAAACAGAGGAGCAACTTCAGTACAGCAGTCTAAGAGAGTTTGCTTAGGACTGAGCTCTATAGCCCAGCGTTTAACAGACCCCTGTGGAAGGAAGGACAGGCAGTGTTAAAACCTTGTTCCAAATCGAATTGCGTGGCAAAAGCAGCTTAGGTGCTTTGACAGTATGAATGCCTGGGAAGCCCACAGAGTTGTACGACTTAATTCTGGTTTTCTCACTTAGTCCCATTTCTGCAGGATATGTTGGCTCCTAAAGAATGTGTCTGCTTGGCGCTTTATCACAGATAACTAAATGGATGTAATAAGTATTTTAACTAAAACCAGGGGACTGTATTTTTTTTCTCAACTGTTTCTACAGAATAATTAAATTGAACTGGTGCAAGTCAGTAAGACAAACCCTAAAAGAGCAATAACAAATGAATTGAATAGGCAACAACTGAGTTATTCTGGGCTTAGTATTTCTAAGAAGTATATTTTTAAGAGATTTTAATGATGCCAGAACTACCTAGGTGAGACGAGGACTTCCTTTTTTAATCCTGCGGCTTTTTATCTGAATTTGTGTGCATGATGCAACTCCATGAATTGAGTTAAACATATAATTAGGTGTCTTTAGGATTGGGGTCTTCCTGCTCTTTGTATTTTTTGCACCTTAATTATTTGATATTTGTGTGTTTGCTAGAGATATTTAGTCAAGGGAGAAGCATAACTTTTATGTGTAGTCCTAGTCATCTATTATTTCCTCAGAAATTATTTTTTTATAAGAAAGGCTGAAACAAATCAATTTCTTTAGTAAGCCTAGGTACTAGATAGTATACGTAAATTGTTAAGACCGTATTGTTAACTTTTTTCCCTATTTGTTACTTTCAGGGAATTCAAGCACACTAAACAATTCCCTGATGGAATTACATTTAAAACAAATTTTATTTCTTTCTTTTTTTATTTTTAAAAATGCATGAGAAGACTGTTCCTTTTGTCAACAGCGTACAAACTAATTTTATTACAGTAGAAAAAAATGTTGCTGAATTTTTAGTGAGTTGTGGTTCATGATCAGTTTTGTCAGAACAATTTACTAGATTGAAGGCTTTTTCAAGAGTCATTGAAACCTGAGGCTTCATTCCATGATGATTCCTTCTATAGTGAAAGAAGTGTGTGTTGCGAGTTCAGCCCAGTTTTGTTGTTGAAATCCCTAGTCCTGCAAAGAGTTGTGGACTGCCTGACTGTACAAATACTGGAATAAATTTAGAGTTTTCGGCCCCAAAGTGATTACTTAAAAAGAGGGGGAAGAGGAAGAACAGGTTAGTTGATAGAAGGTTAATTGATCTAGCTCTAAAGGGGAGCCTCTCAGTGGTTAGTAGCTAGAAGCTGTACATCTGGAAATACTTTAATTTAAAATCCAATATAAAAGCTTCATTGCCTACATGCAGAAACACTTAAGAATTTATTTTTTCTTTAATCACAGGTTTAGTCTTCTGTCTGTAGCACATCCATTGAATTATTGGAGTTATGGTTCTAGAAAGCTATTTTAGCATGGCCAGAATCAGGGTACCAGGCTTAAAATGGACACCGCTCATATAAATACTATTTTCCAGAAAAAAACTACCCTTGGAGTTCTGTGTGGGTAAAAGGTCCCCATAGGAATGTCAGTTGGTGTCTCTCTACATCAGAACAGATAAAGGAAATTATTAATCCAAGACAATGTTTTTGTTAGACTTTGAATTAATTTTTCTGCCTTCATGGATATTTAAAGAAGGAGAGAATGTAACAGATAGGTCTTTAGAATTTTTAAATTTAAAACCAAGTCCCCTTCCCATCTTGTTTTGTTTCCAGAACGCCACAGAATTCCTGCTTTAGAAGAGGCAAGTTGGTTGCTGGGGAACATCAACCAGACTGGCTATTTTAGAGTTAATTATGATATTAGGAATTGGAGGCTGCTAATTAATCAGCTAACGAGGAACCATGAGGTAAGCTCCTCTTCTCATCCCTAAAATCCACTTTGATAGGTGAGCCTTCACTGTTTCATCACCCTAAATGGTTTAATTTTTGTGCTTGCCCCTCACAGGTTATCTCTGTCAGTAATCGAGCAGGCTTGATCGATGATGCATTCAATCTAGCCAGGTATGTTTTCCTGAAGATAATCTATCCTCATACACATTGCTGCAATAACTCATGCAATCATTAACTCGGCAGTTGAGTGTGTTTCAAAGTTAAATATGTTTCAAACACACTTTAGTTCTTCCCCCCCCCCCTTTTTTTTTTGGCATGGCACATAAACATGGTCTGTAGCACATTCACTGCTCTTGATCAATAATAGCCATAGGGTATTTCCGAGTCTGGAGAGGTCTGATCAATTTTGCAGCAAGTTCAATTTAACACTTTGGAGATAAATAATCTCCTTCCTCTTTCTCTAATGAATGAGGTTTTTTTTTTCTTTTGTTTCTCCCTGATGCCCTGCCTCTTCTTTTTTTATAACTGACCCTTGTGCTGTATTTAATTTGTGATGGAAGGCACCTTCAAGCTTCAGTAATTTTTTTTGCCCTGACTTGTACTGTTATATCATTTTTCCAATATCTTTCTTTTCTTGTAATCTGCTAGAACAGACTCTTTTTCTGCATGATGCTTTTCGTGCAGAATGGAAAATCAGAGCTCTGTTGAGTATTTCTGGAATTTATACAACATTTTGTGTTTTACTATGATCACAGTTAATAATTAACACATATAGTGCTGGTTAGGTGATGCCTTCTCTATGAATTGAGTCAATGGAATTGTCCCCATTTTGAAATCAGGACATCAGTCTTTTGGTGGTGAAAGTGTAAAATGAGAGGAAAGTAGTGGAACATTTCAAACTTTTTGATTCTTCAGGTACCTGGGAACATTGCATCAGTAAAACACTGTGATGTCAAAGGCAGCGTGAAAAGAATTCCTGATTCTACTGGCTTTTCTGTTTGCTAGTGTATTTATAGCCATATTTGAGCGGGGGCTTGCAGGAATCGGCAGTGCTGAGGTACATTTCACTACAAACGGTCACCGGAGATGTTTGAGATTCAGGCACGGTGTCACACAGAAATTACGGCTCAGTGATGTTCCAGCATCACTGCCGTAAAACACGGTTGTGTGCCCTACCACTCTGTTCCTGCTGCCAGTGCTAGACTGAATATATGACATAAACTAGTGATTAGCCCTTACTTAACAGTCCAGAAATGTAGTAGGGCAGGAGGCTTCATGGGGAGAGAAGGAGTATCCATTTGCTTTTTGCATTGCCCTTCATTCTTGCCTTGTGGCATCTTCCCATTGGCAACAGTAACGGACTAGAAATAGGTCATCGCTTCAGACTTCAGTGGACCATGATTTGTGTACTGTCTGGCTAGCAGAATATCGCAGAGTATTCTGAAGTATCTAGGCTATTAGAAGAACTACTAAATGTTCAGTAAAGTAACAGTCTGTTCCAATTTGATTTGGTTTTGGCACCTCAGAGAAGCAGTGTGCAGTTCCGCAGAGTCAGTGTGGTGCTTTCTTCTTTTTCTATGCACTGAACACAGTCAGATGTGGCTAGACTTCCCTGAAAGTCTAGACACTGAAAAAAGCTGTTTTTTAAGCTGATTCTTGTAGGTGAGTGTTTTTGTTCTGAGTCAGTACTGAGCCAGTGCTCTAGCATGTCTTGTTCACAAAGCATAAAGGCAAGGTCTTGATGAAAGGCCCAACCTACATCATCTGGCCAAGTTTTGTCTACCTAAAAACCACCCAGAGATTAGATGAGTAACGCATTCCCCACTTGCTTTCCAAAGCAGTTTTATGATGATACTGGATCCTGCTGCTTTTTCGGAGGTAACTATGCCAGAGCGCTGTGGCGTCTTTCGCAAGATTTCACGTTGTAAAAACTTGACTTTCTGTAGTTAACGATACGCTGCAGCGGACTGCTGCTGCATTTGCTACTCATGCACCGTGGAAAAAAAAATAGTTGATCTAAATATTTACAGTGTATACACCTGTGCATACAGAGATATTACTTATGAGGAAATATTCTTCCAAGAGGGATATGTAGCTAGATTCCTGTTTCTTTAAAATCCCTGCACAGACTCCTGTCAGTAGTATTACCTTGAGTACGTGCCTTACAGGGCAGTCTGGGTGGAGGAAAGATCTGCGAGTTTGCAAACAGTAGATCGATGCTCTGTATTTCAAGAGTAGCAATAAGATATGCGGACCTGGCTGAACTTGCCAGGTGGGGTATACTTTTTGTTGGTCTTTTTTTTACTTTATTCATCTATCATCTTTCCTGTTAAAAAAAACCCCAAACAATTATAGTGATGCTGAAGTTAGTCTAATTGGCTAGCTGACTGTACGGTACCTTTTTAAAGAAGAGTTTGGTATTTTTCATTTTCATTTCCCCTCTCCCAGACAAAGACGGACCAGGAATAGGCCTAATCCTTGCTGTGTTCCTTTATCGTGAGTAGGACTAGAGAGGCATTAAGAGCCTGTTAGGAGTGCGCTGGGGGCAGGCCTTGACGGCGGAGCGCCTGAACTTCTGGGAGTACGAAAGCAGATGGAAAATCACACAGACCCTTCCAGTTTCCTCCAAAAGTCAGTGTTCAGAAGGCCACCATCAACCTAAAAGCAGCTTAGCTTTGCCCCGCTTGGCTGCGAGGCGCAGTGCAGAAAGTCGCTTCGCTTTCTTTTGGAGTGGTACCGTGGCTTGGATGTTACCTGCCCCGAGGGTGCAGTGCCGATTCAGGCTCGTCTGCGATGCGGAGCGTGTGTTCCTCCCTGCCCATGTAATCTTACATGATGGGGAGATTAAACACGTATGGTTGTCTCTGACTGCGACATGAGAAAAGGTGAGTAACCTTATTGACCAGGCATAGAGGTAGTAATTGGGAGTTTAGACCTGACTTTTGAGAAGACTGGCTGTTTTTAAGGGTAATTCAGTCCTCAGTTGTGGTCCCTAGTTGCACTGATGTGTTATCTGCTTTTCTACAGCTATAAACACATATTTTGAGAGAGAGAACTGTGGAAAACATGCTTTTATTTTAATCCCTAGCTATTATTTTCAGTGATAAAATAATGCAAAAATGAAAACATAACTTCTTAAATTCATGGTGGTTCTTTTTAAAAGAATTTCTAGCATAAACAGTTCTTTTTACTGTACTGAAGAGACTGTATTTCTTCAAAATACCCTGTCCTCCTTAGAAACTTCTGAAGTACTCCCTAGTGTGTTGTTGAACTTGATACAGATAATGTCCATTCCACACCAAAAGGGTGTGACTTGATTTTTGCACTGTCCTAATATGGTGTGTCCTAATATGATATTTCTGTGTAGTTTTACTGCTAATTGATTTTATTTGTGGAACAAGTACAGGTCTTTAGTAAAATTTAATAACATTTAGATCTGGAGAAAGATGAAAATATTGCTCATATAAATTATTTTGGAGCACCACATTTTATTTTATTTTTTAAAAACGGTGTCTTTGATTTCATTCCTGCAGAAAGTTTACTATCCTTTTACTGTCCAGCATAATGATTTCTGAAAAACAAAGAACATAAGTGAATTGTTACCTCCAAGGAATATTTTAAGCTCTATACCTTTAATTTCATAAAGTTTTGCCCATTTTATATGGAAATATATTCCTCCTTCTTCCTTCTTGGTGTATTTTGGTTCCATAAAATTAATCAAGCAGAGTTGAATTGAACAATAACAATAAAAGAAAGCTACAGCTTGCCCACTCTGTTTGAATTCTTGCAAGCTTGTTTGTTTTTCAGATTTTTAAGCGTAATTCTGTTCTCAGCTGTAGTACATGCACACACCCTGAGGATCCGGAGAGCTGTAGCCTTGGCAGTAGCATAGCTTATAGAAATACATGCCCCAAATTCTTGAGCAAGAGTAGCAGCTTGGCACTCTCTCTTCCCTTCTTCTTGAAGATCCTTTATCTTTTGGGGACATTTTGTACGAAATTTCAGTACAATTTGAAAATATGTTGGTTGTAGTAAATGGGATGTGTTGACTGACAAAGCTGAGAGAAGACAAATAGGTCTGTGGTTCTCTTCTAAGCTTAAACCGAGCAGAGGGCAGGTCAGATGGCACCAGTAAGTGGTGTCACAGGAAATAACAAAAATCCTACTGTGTCTTGAGAGTGCGAGCAGTGTTGTCGGCTTCTCCCGTCTTCCTCTTCCCTTAGGATAAGGGGTCAGTTAGTTAGTATGCGAGGTGGGATGCCTCCCACTTTAGGCATCCCAAAGGTAGACCTGCAAACCTGAGCTTGGCACCTTGCTGTGCACTGACAGTTAATGGTCAGAAATGTGCACCTGACCTCGCAAAGCCACTTAACCACGTAGGAGCCACTTAACCACCCTCCTGGAGCAAAAGTCTTATGAGGAGCGGCTGAGGGAGCTGGGGCTCCTTAGTCTGGAGAAAAGGAGGCTGAGGGGAGACCTTATTGCTCTCTACAACTACCTGAAGGGGGGTTGTAGTGAGGTGGGTGCTGGTCTCGTCTGTCAGGTGACTGGAGATAGGACGAGAGGTAATGGCCTCAAGTTGCAGCAAGGGAAGTTTAGGTTGGATATTAGGAAAAATTTCTTTACTGAGAGGGTTGTCACACATTGGAATAGGCTGCCCAGGGAAGTGGTTGAGTCACCATCCCTGGAGGTATTAAAAAAGTGTGTAGACAAGGCACTTCAGGACGTGGTTTAGTGGGCACGGTTGATGGTTGGACTGGATGATCTTGAAGGTCTTTTCCAACCTAAATGATTCTATGATTCTATTCTACGATTCTAGTGTTAGGAGTGTTGTGTCACCCCTAGTTCTTCCTTGCTGGGTTATAAATCTTCATATTCACTTCCCCTCATTAGACTCGTTGACTTAATCCAATATTATGTCAAAGGAAAAGGTCTGGTTTGTATTCAGTGTTAATTGGTGTTGGCTCAGATGTGACTGTGGATACCTATTTTACTGTCATCTAAAATAGTTATTGTTCTTTCCAGTTCTGGAAGAATCCATCAGTTTTGTCTCTTGAAACCTAATGTGTGCCTCATACCCCTTTGATCCTGCCTGCACCATAGTCAGCTCACCATGTTAAGGTGACGGGTCCTTGGTTTGCATGCCAATTGCTCAGGAAACCATTTTTTTT